TCCGATACATTCTGTGGGAAGCAGCTCGTGTGTGGTACGCGTTGACGGGCTGCCTGACGCCCTCAGTCTCCACGTCCTAGCTGGTGTTTTGTCCTCTTGCTGATATCGTGCCAGCATGAGTAAGGCCTGCTTTATAAGTCGAAAGATGCAGAAGGCATGAGCACATGAAGTCAAGTAAGGTCGGATGATAAATTAATCATTCTGAGAAGCAATCATTAAAATGCGATGGATGCTGTGGGAAGCAGCTCGTGTGTAGTACGCGTAGACGGGTTGTCTGACTTCCACAGTCTCTACGTCGTAGCTAGTGTTCTGTCCTTCTGCTGATATCTTGCCAGTGGAGACTACTGGATGAAGGGGACGGAATGTAGAGTATCCCGTTTAATTCTGTCATACACGAATTCGCTGCGTAATGCATACATTTGACACCGTCGTTTGTGAGAGCTAAACTGGAGTTAAATATGCTCGAGTTGATAAATTTGTTACTTTTCTCCGATTCTGAACTTAAACACCAAATTAACATCTTTGAAGCAACAGACTGGGACTTCTTATGGGAACCGGCTTATGACGGCGAGTGGCCCAAAGGCAGGAACCCCGAAAATCAATATAAAGGAGCGCAGTACATAATACGAGACCATAAGGGGAAGCCCTATATCCATGTTCTCAAGGGTAGTGATTATGTGAATTCATACACGGTGGATGAAGAAGAGGATCACTACGAGCCGGACGACAACGGCGGCAGCAAGCGCCTGTTCAAATATCTTTCCGACATGAAGTCTGTTTTTAAAAAGGTTTGTTTCCCTTCTTTTAGGATTTAGTGCCTACGAACGCCCTCAGATGACGGTTTTTAACTTATCATTGGATTAAATCATACCCGTTCTACAGTAGACGCCACAATTCACGCAACATTTTGACAGGCGAAAAATTGATACTCTTTCGCTAATTGGTATCGACTCAGGTTGTGATAATGATTATCGTGTAGTCTATTCTGAAGTTTATTCCGTCATCATAGCATGCGGGCTTTTTAATGAGCTTCGTTCTGACTACCAGCAAAAAGTATCTATTGTACAAACTGCCTACTTAATAGTATGCCTTTTTATCATTGATTTTGACTGCCTTTATAAATCCAAATATATTTTATGGAAAACATGCACGAGAAAATAATTTTTTGTATTTGTTTGATAGCAAATTACGCGTTCTCTAAATTTTATACTCAAAGAAAGGGTAACTTTTCGTTTTAAAAAATTTGCTCAATAGCCGAATAATTTTCTTACCTAGTGACCTCTACACTTGAATTCAAAGTTTAAACACATTGCACTGTGTACATCCTGTTTAAGGAAAAGTACGTTTTCGCCTACTGTTTGAGGAAGAAGTCACATATTTGTCAAAAATATTAAGATAGATGTGGAACATATTTTACGTAGTATAGGCAGCATTAATAAATTGGCGGATGCGATGTATTATGAATAAACAC